GATATATAACGGGGCCAGTCTCAAAAACAAAACCATAGTCCAGGTATGGTGTCAGCTGTGGTGGCATACATCTTTAATCCCAGCTGTACAAAGGCCACTCTGAGTTTAAGGCCAGGCTGGTCTATGCAGTAAGTTCCAGGTCAGTCAGGGCTACCCAGTGAGATCCTATCACACAAAAAAAAAACCTAATAAATAGATAAATAGAACATTTATTGTTGTTTATTTGCGTTAAACAACAGAAGTTACTAGTTATTGTTGTCATCCTGTGTATGTGTGAGACTGCATGCCAAATCCCAGGGAGCCTGCTAAACTTTTACCTCAGCATTGAGGCTACAGAGAGATTGATGCTGCTGGTGAGCACACTTGATCAGCCGCAAGCTGGAACCTAACCTGGGGCAGGTCAAGGACTACTGCCTAGGACTATGAGCGGCTTCTAATGATGGCTGGTGACCAGTGGAGTCTGGTCTTGGTCTGTGCTGGTTGTTGTAGTTTCAACCTCTGTGGATCTGAGGTGATACCGCGGTAAAAAAACAAAAACAGTGTGATATCTGTGCCTCTCAGGGAGCTCTTAAAACTATTAAGCCTGTTGAGACTAGGAGGCGCCCTTTGCTGTCAAGCCAACCACTTCATCAACAGCACCAGAAAGATCAGTAAGTAATGAGCTTCAGCTTCCAGTGAGGGCTGAGCAAAGCTGGCCTTGGGCAGTTTGCGGGTTGCCAAGTCCCTGTTGCGGCTGAGCAGCTATCTCAGGGTTAGAGGTCAACTCCTCTTCACACAGCTGGTAGGAGGGGGATGTGGTGGTGGTGGGGGAGTGGCGGCCGCAGGATCTCGCCCAGCTTTGAGCCCCTCAGCTTGCAGGAAAAGGTTCAGCATAGAGGCCATTGTTCAGATGAGAAAAGTCTTGGGAGGTGGGTGGGACAGGAAGAAAGTGGGGGCGGGCGCAGCTTTGTTCTCGGTGTTCCCTGTCGGGATAGGAGAGGGACCTCGGGGAAAGCCAGTATTAACCCCATATGCCACCTTCTGCAGTTCCTTTTCTTTGCCTTCCGTCCCTCTCAAGGATCTTCTGAGCCTGTGCTAACCGAACCCTTTGTGTTGGGTCCTGAAGAATGCATAAGAGTTCCCCAAGGGATGAGCGAATTATTATTATTATTATTATTATTATTATTATTATTATTGAGACGGGGTTTTTCTGTGTAGCTCTGGCTGACCTGTAACTCAGAGAGATCTGCCTGTCTTGCCTGCCTCCCAAGTGCTGTAATTAAAGCAG